AAGCACCGTGGTTGGGGGTGAGGGGGGGCGGTGAGTCAGGTGATTCAGAAGAAAAGTATTTTTAAGTTGAGCAAAGTGCAATGGTATTACCATCTCCACATTTAGAGAGGAATTAAAAAAAGGCACAAAGAAAGGAAGTGGGCCGTCCTGGACCTTGGGTTAACTACAGCCCAGCACTGCTTCCTTATATAGGTTTCATGTCCTAAGGTTAGGCTTCTAAAACCCATGGTTTTTTATTTATAGGTAAGTAAACCCCAATTTTTCTAAATTCTCCCTAAAGATGATGCTGGCCACACCATAATTTGTGTGATCACCAGGCCCGGGACCCCTCCTTATTCCTTTTGCCCTTCCCGTCGCCCCTTGGAGAAACCAGGTTACCTCTCCGAGGCCAGGGACATTTCCTCCTCCCTGCCTTCTCCCTCCTTTCCTTCCCCCGCCTCTTCCTTTCTCCTTCCTCCCCTCTTCCTCCCCCATGCCCTCTCCTCCCTGACTTGTCCCCCTCCAGGTCCCCCTCTCTCTTGTCTCCAAGCCTTCCCAATCCCTGCTGGCTGCACAGGCTGGGCTCCAGTTCGTTCCTAGGCTGGCTGGGTGACAGCCGGGGAAGCATTCTGCTGCTAATGAATTGGCAGAGAGAACAAAACAGCCCAGCTCTCCTGGATGGACTTTGTCATCTACAGCTGGAGCGCATGACGCATCATACTTACGAAAAGAGCGCATGCCATGGCTTTGGGGTGTCAGGACCCCATTTCACTCTGCCAGGAGTGTTGGTCCCATTACAGAGCCAGTCCAAACGACAAAAAGTTAGAGGGAAACTCCACCCTTGTAGCATTTCCTCACTCATTTCCCCCCTGCTCCGGGGCTGCCTGGCAGGACCCAGGAGGGAAAATTCTTGTATTTAGAGTGGATGGTGGGGCCAGGTTTGGCAGCTGTAAAGGGCTGAGTAAACCTTGGAACACTGGGCCTGAAAGAGCCCTTAAGGAACACTGAGGCCAGCTTTTTCTTCTAATGGGAAACCAAAGCCAAGCAGGTTGGCTGGTGTTTAGATCAAATTGTGTCTCCCAGTACTTACATACTGAGGTCCTATAAGTCCTCAGAATTGAATGTTATTTAGAGATAGGGTCTTCAAGGCAATTAAGTTAAAAATAAGGTCATCAGGCATGGGCCCTAACCCAATATCAACTGGGGTCCCGATAGGAAACGGAGGCTTAAACTCAATGTGTACAGGGAGAAACTATAAGAACAGGAAGCCCAGCCATGTACAGCCCTCAGAAATACCCAAGCCTACCCCAAGTTCTAGCTACCAGAATCAGGAAACAACAGTTTCCACTGTGGTAGGCACTCAGTCTGTGGTGCTTTGTAATAGTAACGCTAGCAAACAGATACACACAACATCTCACTAAAGTGACCGAAGCAAACAGATACATTCGACATCTCTCTAAAGTGACGGAGGGAGCTGGGTCCCTCGCTCCCACCCATTGCCCTTTCCAGGTGCCCTGCTCCGAGTCTAGCCACAAGTTACGTGACTGCAGAAAACACAGGCGATTTCAAGAGGGACAATTCTCTAAGAATCTGGAGCTCAGCGCCTTCATCTCCCAGGCTGGAATCTGCACACGTAAGCAGAGGCAAGACAGTGCTCTCACCCCGTTGGCTCTCTATTTATTTTTGATTTTTGAGACATAGCCTTTGTTGTCCTGGAGCTCACTATGTAGACCAGGTTGGCCTCAAACTCACAGAGATCCACCTGCCTCTGCCTCCCCAGTGTTAGGAGGCTCCTCGGATTTTTTTTTTTTCAAGTTGTTCCCAAGGAATTTGTTTTTATAGAGCCCAGGGAAGAAAGAGGCATTCTCTTTTTCTGTGAGTAGCTTTACAGTTTTAGGACTTGTATTAAAATTTTAAGGTCACCTGGGCCTTTCATTCTCATTCATTTGTTTAGTTTGAGTCAGGCTCCCCTTTCCCAGGATGGCCTTGAACTTGCTATGTGGCTTGTTTTTTTTTCCCTGAATTTTCAGTCCTTCCTTCGGCCTCCATCTGAATGCAGGGGTAAGAGTTACATGCCCTTACCCTTGCTTAATAGTTCTTTTGATGAGAACAGTCTCAACTTAGCCACTTAGATCTTCTGCGGTGGACAGCTGTATTCCTTATTGTTACTAATGGTGTCTCTGATTTTTATCAAGTTAAAATTATAGATGGGCTTGAATTTCAATTTTAAGCAGATAAATGTTCAGGTTAATTTTAACTGTCAATTTGACACCACAGAATCACCTGGGAAGAGAATCTTAATGAGGAACTATCTAGATCGGGGTTGCCTGTAGGGGGTTATCTTGATGGTTAGCTGATGTAGGAAGACCCAGCCCACTCTCAGCAGCGCCGATCCCTAGGCTGGGCCCTGACCTGTCCGAGAGTGAAGATAGGCAGCCAGAAAGCAATCGGGCATATGGGTGTGTTTGCTTCTCTCTGTCGTGACTGTGGATGTCATGTGGCCTGCTGTCTCCTGCTCCTGCCTCTGTGACTTCCTTGCTATAATAGACTGTCACCTGGAATTGCTCAGGAGAGTTTCCACTCCTCCAAGGCCCGCCCCCTCGCCCCCCGCCCCAGGGTATTTTATCACAGCAACAGAGATGAGACTAGAACATAAGGCATGAATTTTTTTTTTTAATTGGAAAAACGTTTATTTTGTTTTGTTTGAGACAAGGCTTAGAACTCAGATTTAGACCAGGCTGGCCTTGTAATGCCTCTGGCTTCTGAGTGCTGGTATTACAGGTATGTACCACCACACCCTGCTGGAGGAACACTTAGAAGGGATGGATCCTTGGAAACAAATCTTCCCGGCGGGGTGAAATTCTGACTAGAAAGGAGTTAAAACATTACCAACAAGGACAGCCGTCACCACGAAAGCTGCTTCTGCTGCAAAGTGAGGCCTTTCTAAGGGTACTGGGAAGACCAGGGGCATCAGGTGACTTGAGAATGGGCGCTATTTTCCTTCAGGCCCCTCAAAGGTAGGCATGCCAAATCCTAGGTCTGGCATGAGCCTGAGAATTTTCCAGAGAAATCCTGGTGGACAGGTGAAGAGCAGGGGACGGGATTAGCCAGCTGGCCCTAGGAGAGCATGCCATAAGAAATCTATGTTCCTGTCATCACCTCCCAGAGCAGGAAGAAGCTGGTCCACACTGGCTTCCGAAGGGTAGATGATAAGAGCGCCTGGGTCACAGAAGGGAATATCCCTGTGGGTTTGTGATGAGCGGTTCCCAGAGTGCAGGATTTCATGACTTCAGTCACAAAAGGGAGACACTGAGAAGTGGGGCAGCTTTTAGTTTTGCTAAATAAAATTTGATCGAAAGCTGGGCATGGTGGCGCACGCCTTTAATCCCAGCGCTCAGGAGGCAGGGGCAGGTTGTCTCCGAGTCTGAGGCCAGCCTGGTCTACGGAGCGAGTTCCAGGACAACTTGGGCTGCACAGAGAAGCCCTGTCTGGAAACAAGCAACTAACAGAAACATGTTACTGAAGTGGGAGCTAGGGAGGTCACTCAGGCAGCCAAGTGTCTGCTTTGGAGGCACAGGGACCTGAGTTCAGTTCCAGGAGCCCATGCTGAGGTGGGAGGAAAGAACTAACTCCTCAAAGCTGACTTCCGACCTCTACATGTTGTGCAAAGTGAGGATATGACCACCTCAAGGTATGTTTGAGGGGAAGGTTTTTATTGTAGACATGAGGGAGAGAACAGCCAGAGGCCTCTGGAAGAGTCCAGAGCAGGGAGAGAAAGGAGTAGACTGAACATGGCCGGTAGACTGAACTGGGCCATGAGAGGAGCGACAGGGGTGAGGAGTGAGGGGTGAGAGGTGAGGGGTGAGGGGTGAGGGGCGAGGGGTGGAGGTGAAAGAGGAGGACCAAGAGAGAGGGTTTCAGAAAGAGCCGAGAGAGGAGCACATGGGCAAAATGGCAGGGTTGTATAGGGATGAGAAGCTGGGAGAAGGAAGCCCATGAGCTGGAGAAGCTTAGGGTAGGGGGTGGGGTGAGAAGAGCTGGGGGGAGCCGCGATGCCTGGCTCTCTGACAGGTGCTTGTGATCCTGAGGGGGCCTGGAGGCCAGCATGCACTCTGGTGTGCTAATAGGCACCACACCTAGCCATGTGTCCGGGGTTTCTTTTGGACCTTGTCTCAGCCCCTACATTTAGAGCTCCCTCGCTTATATTAAAAATAGACCCCTCCGCCGTGTTCCAAGAAGAGTCTTGTTTCTCTTCAGAGAGTCTATGCTTGTTAGCTAGTGTCAGTTCTCCAAAGGACAGGAGTGATGCTCCTCCTTGTGTTTGTTAGGTCAGGTCTTCCAGAAATAGAGTCTGACACAGGATTGGGGTTCTACTTGGTTCCAGGAAGGCGATCCCAGACTTGGAACGAGAGGTAAGACTGAGGTGGGGAAGCAGAGAAACTCTTAGTGAGGATGCAGTGATGAGCAGGTTATCCCCGGGGCAGCTGGGACACTGGGGCCCTGCAGAGCACCCTTGGGGTTACATTGCTGGAGCGCTGCTCTGTGATTCTCCCATTTTCAGTCAAGATCTGGTCCTGAGGGCACCCATCACACGGCATCCTTCGCCTGCTGTGCACAAGCAATCACAGAAGGCCTGATATCACTCTGAGTGCCTGGCAGACCTGGGCGGGGTGGCCAGACCTCATCTCTACCTCCTTCTGCAGCCTCCCAACCTTTGATTTCAAATGACTACCTCTAGCTGCTCCCGTAAATATCTGTTTACCAATGCTCATGTAAGTAACCCTAACTAAACTCATAAGGACACACACATACACACTCACACACACTATGAAACTTGAAGACAGAAGGGAGACTAGTCAGGAAGGGGACTCAGCAGGACTTTGAATTGGGGTGAAGATGACCAACATATATTATATATATGAGTGAAAACATAACAAGACACACTATCATAGATAATTAACATATGCTGATAAAAGTGAAGCAGGGTCTGGTTATGAAGGTCGAGCTACCTTCAAATTCACCTTCTCCTGCTCCAGTCTCCCGAATGCTGGGGTGTGGGGTGGGCCCCACTACACCCTGGATTACTTTCTCCTTGGGTGGCCAGGCCGCAGCTAGCAATCTTTGCCTCCAAATACACAGGTGAGGTCACCGACAGACAAGGTGAAAATACACGTTCCCCAAGCAAGATCTCGCACCATCCGGGTGAAACCCGGACTCAGCGTCCTAGCCCGGCAATGGCAGCCTGACCCCGTTGGGAGGCCTACGGGGAGCGGTTGGCTGTGGTTGCCCGAGCACTGCGTTGAGAATTCGGAGGCTCAGGGATAAAGCAATTGTTCCCAGGTTTCGATCTGAAATGTCCCCCAGGTTCCCGGGTTGGCAGCTGGTCTGCACGTGGTGGTGTTCTGTTGTGAGGTTTCAGCTCCTCGGAGGGGTGGGGCCCCCTGAAGGAAGTAGGTCGTTCAGGGTTGTCCTTGACGGACAGATCTCGTCCTTGTCCCTTTCTGTCCATCTTGTGGCTACTGTGACTCGAGCAGCCTCAGCCACGTTCTTCCTGGATTGAGACTCATGGAAACATGAACCGAAAGAAGCCCACGCTCCCTTAGGTTGTCAGGTGTTCGTCTACAGCGATGAAAAGCTTAAAGCACGCAGCTGGCTAGGCACTGGTCCGTAAGGGGTTACGTCTCAGTCTGTGTCTGCTGCTGTAACAGAATACGTGGGGCGGGGTAGTTTTTAAAGAACAGAGGTTTATTTGAGCTCATCGCTCTGGAAAGCCCACCGTCAGGCAGCTGGGATAGACAGGAGTCACGTGGCAGGGAAAACCGAAACAGAAGTGGAACGCAGGAGGGAGCCGACACACAACATGAGCTCAGGTGGTGACCACCCCTGTCTCAATGACAGCCAGATGAGAAGATCTCACTGGAAAACTACCAAGCAACAAACTGTAAAACAGGAGAGGTGAGAAATCTGTGTGTCCGGGTTGCTTCCAGGAGCATGCTTCCTGGGTGTGAGCTGAAAGAACAATTACAAATTTCCAATTTTATCTTGCACACACACACACGTGTGTGCTCATGCTCTTGTGGGAGTTAGGCCTTTCCTTCCACTGCCTTGGTGCCAGGGATCCAGGGATCCAACTTAGATAGGCAGGCTCCCTGGCCCTGGCCCTGTAAAGACAATTTTTATATGCTTCTTAGAAGTCATAGGTGAGGAACACAAAACACACATGCCCAGTGCATTTTAGTCACATGTCACAGGGGACATTTTCTAGGATCTGTTGTCAATACAGAAGATGAAAATCACTATAGGAAAGTTTACATTGAAAAGATTTGGGATGTCTCCACCTTGCTAGTATCTGACCCTGAGAAATAGAAACGCCTGTAATAGTTAAATCTCGACTCCTATGTGACCCAACTGTAATGTGCCACCAGATGGTCCCCAACTGTCACGGGCAGGGCTGCTTTTTATTTGCAGGGTAGATTATGCAACCTGCAGCTTTCAATCATTTCTTTGCTCATCTTGTACTGGTGCTGTGTTCTATTCCCGTATTAAGTTCTCTCTCTCTCTCTCTCTCTCTCTCTCTCTCTCTCTCTCTCTCTCTCTCACACACACACACACACACATTATATACACATATACTCACACAGAGAAACACACTTACACATAGACATACACTCACACAACTACCATATAGTCTCACAGAACACTCACACACATACTCACTCACATGTACTCACACAGAGATACAATCACACATAGAGAGATATATTCACATACATAGAGACATACATACATTAAACACAGGTATACACACACACTCACATAGAGACACATGTACACACACACATATACACTTGACTCCTATCTTATATAGTATATACAAATATGTTTCAGATAGGTTGATATAAAGGGTCTCAACTGCCACCCCACCCCAGTGCTGGGAACTAAAGCAAAGACTTTGTGCATGTGAGGGGCATGCTCTCCCACTGACCTAAAGCTCCACTCCCTGGTTCTGAGTACCTAAAAGACTCAAGAAAAAGGCTGGTAATATCCAGTGTTGGCATGAACACGGACTACAGGCATCTCTCAGGCGGAAGATCTTTACTGAGATATTGACATCATACCTGATATCCGTCCTGTAAATATACCCAGACATCACACTGCATACAAGGACAAGGGGTTTGTCCTTTATAACAGAATAATGCTGAAAAACTGTTAGTAATCAAAGCATTCCCCAAATAAGCACAGCTGCGGTAATTAAGATCTGACCATATGAAATGTTATGCAGCTTTTTAAAGGGATAGGGTAGGTTTGTATTACACAGCGACATAGAAATAGCTCTGAGACATGCCACAACTTATTTGAATTTAGTTTCTTTATCTAGCTAAGATTCAAAATCTATCTAAGATTTAAAAAAAGCTCTACAATGGCTGGGGTGCAGCTGAGGGAGGGGTAGAATGTTTGCTTAGTGTGCAGGGTTCTGGGTTTGATTCTCATCACTGGAAAAAAAAACCTGACAAGAATCTTTAAAAAATATTTATTTATTTAGTGGTGTGTGTGTGTGTGTGGAGGTCAGAGGGGAACTTGTGAATCAGTTTTCTCCTTCTACCATGTAGACACCAGTGATTTAGTTGACGTCACCAGCCTTGGTGGCCGGCATGCTGACTGACCTTGACTGATCTTGCTGGCCCCTAAAAATTTTCATCTCAGTTCTATGAAAAGAGATTCATGTCATGGAATTTGTTGGATGTGGCGATGCGTGCCTATAATCCCAGCACCTGGGAAGTTGTGGCGGGAAGATGAGGGATTCAAAGTCATCGTGGGTTGGATAATGAGTTTGAAGCCATCATCCTGGGCTCCATGATGAGTTTGAAGCCATCCTGGGCTACATGATGACTCTGTCCCAAAAAGAAACATCGGCCTTCTTTCCCAGTTCGGATGATCAAAATATCTCGAGACCTAAAATCACTCAAGGAAACCCTGAAAGTAAATATGTTTCAACAGTTTACAGAGGAAAATAATATCCAAACACTCAGGTTTTAAAGACACTATTCTCCAGGTTAAGCAACAAAATGACCACTCCCAAACCCTTTCTATAATACCACATTGTTGAAATCTACCAGCAAGTATTCCCTCAGCTGTACAGACTGAGCTCAAAGCAGGTGAAGGGAACCTTTGAGGCTCCTCCTAACTCAGTGACCAGAGTGTCCTGCTCCACACCGGCTCCGAGTAGAGGAGCTTCTAAATTTACAGGAGTCAAAACGATTAAACAAACTAACAACTCAATTAGTCTCCTGGGAGCAGATGAAATAGGAAGGATTTAGTTTTTAAATAGAAAAGGTAAGCAAAGGAAGAGGAAGTTCCATTTTGTTTTGACTAGCGTTCCATCCATAGCATAACCACTTGAGAACGCACAGTTCCCTGTTGTGGGAGTAGGGAACTGGCTTTGGCTTTCTGCGCCCCCAGCTTCCCCATGTGGGAAGCAGGTAGGAATGTTTGACTCAGCGTGCAGGGTCACTCTGAAGAAAGGTGACCGTCAGAAGAAACTGCTGATCACAGAGGAGCACATGGCCACGACCCATGGCCACGCAGAGACCCGGAGCCGATCCGCACAGTCTTCTGTGTCCGTCGCCAGACAGGCCTCTGACGCTCACGAGCGTCCGGAATGACTTCATCCACTGCCCTGGAAGTTTCAAAAGAAAATCTCAGGAAATTTCAAAGGAAACTTCCAAATCTGCTAGCTCTTGATCAGATGATCACTTGGCTGTTTAACTTCTTAAGACCACTGGTCCAGGCTGAACTGCAGACTGACCAAGCCAAATCATTCCTCCGTCTCTGGGCAGTTCTTGCTGGTGTCAATGTGTGGACAGAAGAATATGGCCCATTGTCCCACCAGATGCAAATTATGGCCCCGATTCAACAAAAACCATCTGTCTTCCACACAGGGAAAATAAGCAGAGACGTGAAGCCAGGCTAATGTTTTGTGATGTGGCACTGTTGGCTGAAATTCACATTGTGGTTTGTGATTAGTAAGAAAAAGAAAAGTCTCAGAGAGAATAAACAGACGGTTGTTTTGAAAGATGAAAAGATTTTCAAAGAAATCTACACACCTATGCAAAGCCTATCCAGCAGTATCCATAACACAAATTAAATAATACAAATCACTTCCTCATCTGTGGCCACTGGAAATTCTTTCATCAAAAGCATGGGTGATTGAATCTTAATGAAGTACATGTAGTTGGATACCTTAGTAATTTTCTTTCGAGACAGAGTCTCACTATGTAGCCCAAGTTGGCCTCAGACTCCCCATGCAGCCTCATCCTTGGGGCATTTCCCAGGCTTCAGCCTTCCCAGTGCTGGGATTACTGGTGGGAGCCACCACACCTGGCATGATGCATTAATTGGTACTTCTTGTAATAGAATAACACCTTAACTTTAATTTTTGCCCTTCCGGGTCTCCGTACACCTTTCCTACCCCTTTAGTGGGACGGAGGGCTTTTGTTATTTGTACTGTTCTAAGGGAGAGTCTGAAACAGTTAACATGCAGAGAAGGAAAAAGTAAGTTCTGTGCTTAGCTTTGGGTTGTATAATCTTGACTTGGAAGACCTAGAGCCAAATAAGGATTGTGTACCGGGCTCACTATGCTCGAGTCAGCAGTGAGCCCTGTAATTGTATTCTTTCTTAATAATGGTTGTTAGAAAGTGGGTTTTCTTTGTTATTGTATAGCTGTTAGTCATTTGTACTTGCTCACTTGTGAACTGTCTGTTTTATATTCTTTTCTCATGTATGCACTGGAAAATCTTAGATCACTCCTTATTTATTTCCATATCAATATCTTATATATATATAGAGAGCAAATATTTTGTCTGATACGTCTCTTGTAATGAATAACTTCTGATTGTGTGTGTGTTTGTGTGTGCATGCACACTGAGGATTAAACACAGTGCATGCCAGGAAGTGCTCTGTCTCTAAGCTACATCCCCAACTCTAGTTCCTATTTTTTTCTTTTACCCATAGGATTTAATATTTTCATGCAGTCAAATGGGCAGGGTTTGCCCCACCCCTGGATTTCCTCTATGATTCTAAAAGCTGATAGTCCGTACTCAGTGACAGAGAAAC